ATTTACACATTAAAATATTTTGCATGGAAATTCAAAATTTTTTCCTATATTTTAACTACACATTCTTCAAAAAATTAGGGCATGTTCTCTTTACTGTTTTCAATTTTTCATAACAGTGAAAACGCGTTCTCTTTCCTATTTTCAAAAATGTGTTTTTGAAAACAAGTTTAAAATTTACAAAAAAAACTCAAATGACTTGTTTTGGGTGTTTTTAGTTATAATTTGGTCAAAATATTCAAAACACGTTTTTATTGTTTTCAGTTACTATCACTTCGAAACCTATCACTTTTCTTCTCCTCTCTCTCTCTCTCTCTCTCTCTCTCTCTCTCTCTCCGTTCTCTCTTTCTTCTCTCTCTCCAACGACATCGATGATGACGGCGAACAACCATAACATCCTTCGTCGGCATCGATGTCGGCTCCATCGATTAAGAGAGCCAAATTTGATTTATCGAACCCGAATCTGATTCCAAAACCTATGCTTGTTTATCGCCCCATCTCGGCTCTGAATCTCCGATTCTTGGAAGGTCCATATGTAAGAGAGAACGAGCAGCTTTAGTTTCGATCCCTAAAGTACAAAACTCAGACCTGCCACCTACTTTCAATTTGCCATTAGGCTATTTATTTATTAATGCTGAGCATGGGGGTTGTTTTGGATTTGGTTTTGGGGTCGGGTGGTGGTGACGGTTGTGATTGTGGTTGTGATGATGGTGGTGGTGGTGATCTGTGTATATGGTGGTGTGCGGCGATTTGTGATTTTCGATGGTGATCTGTGTGTGTTGTGGTGTGTGCGGAAATGCTGTTGGTTCTGGTGCGGTAGGTGATACAGGTAGCAGAGGTGTTGGTGCAGTTGGTGGTTGTGGTGGTCACGATGGTAGTAGGCATTGGTGTACGGAGGTTCTATCGTGGTGATATTTGGTGCAACCATTTCGCTGTTGCGGTGGTGGTGTTGGTAGTGATGCAATCATTACAAAGAAAGAAAAAAGAGAACACATTTTCCAATTTTGCATTTTTGAAAATAATTTTTTAAAATGACAAAGAGAATACATTTTCAATAATTTCAAAATTGACACTCAAAACACAAAACTCAAAATGATTTCTAAACTTGGAAAGAAGGGGTTATCAATTTAATTTTTAATTGGATTTGTATACTAAGCTCATTGGTAACTTAAATAACATAGCATCTTGATTATAATTGAGTAGGCTTTCTAAATATGTAGTGACATTAAAAATACACATGAAATAATTTTTTCAGCTCTACAAATTAATAAAATTTGCTAATTAAATTAGTTTTGCAACAGATCTTTTTAAATTAGGGGGGGTTATACGAGTATTTTTCATTTTTCTTTTTGTGCTAGGATCTTTTTTCATTCCTTATTAAATCTTCTTCAATTCCATTTTTAAAAATAATTTATTTCTATGACAAAGAATGCTTTAATTTCCCAACTTATCAGCATTTTAATCCGCAATATCAGCACGCAAAGTGCTTACAAGAAAGTCTCCAAGACAAATTTTGAAAAATTAAAAGAGAGAATATATTCTTTTTCGGTAAATGTTGAAAATGGCTGCAATTGTTTAATTGCATCAATGGATACATCTTTAATTCTCTCTTTAAATAAGTCACTTAGGCATTCTATATCATCAATGCACTCATGTAGGGTTGGACAAAACTTTCGAATCGAACCGAACCGAACTAAACCGAATCGAATCGAGCGGTTCTTCATAAGTTAAATACCTAAACGGGTATCTGAATCGAGAATCGATGAGTTTGGTTCGGTTCTCGATTCTATACCAAGAACCGAATTTAAATAATTTTTTTAATTTTTTATATTGAATTAATTAAATTATTTTAATTTTTTCTAAACAAATTAGCAAATTAACTAATTTAGTGATTAATGCTTCAACTCCCAAATTAAATCCATGTCTAGCTAG